TGTCAAGTTTTCAAAGCGTTGACCGATTAATATTGAGGTTGAATATAGTGCATAAGGGTGAATTTCAGTGTTTTGTAAACGGATCAATAAATGGGAAACCGGGTCAGACGATATTCCGCTGCATCTGAAATGCTCTTTTCGAATCGATTGCCGAAAATTATAATAGTGAATAATTAGACATTTTTCAATTAATTAATAACACAATTATTCGAAATATTTAAATTTTAATTTTACTAGTTTACAATAAGCAAGATTCGGCGCCGATATCTGATTATTAAGCAAGTTGATGGTGAATTCATATTTTTAAATTTATTTCGTGATTTAAAATATATGTTTTGGTGAGCCATTGGAATGATTTAGTGAATTTATTTGACAGAAATTGGACTTTTTATTTCAAATAAAAATATGACAATTATTTGTTATATTTGCATATGTACGTAATTATTTTCTTTTTATAATTTTTTTTTGCTATTGATTTAACAATTGGTTTCGGGGTAATATATTATTATCGGGGTAATTTTATTATTATATTACCTTATTATATATTATGAATGTGAATTGATTGTACTAAATTATAAAACTGTAAACATTTTACAATATAAAGGTTTCCACGTAAGATTATTATGTATTTACAATATTCAATATGTAATGATCAATAGGTTTCCATGTTGTTATTCTTGCGATTAAAATAACAATTTTAATGATTTGTTGATCAAGAACGCAGTCGATAATATTTTGAATTTTCAATAATTTGTATTATTTTCAAATAAAATTAAAATTTTGAATTAAATTCAAAAAAATAATTAATCAATTTCAATCGTATTTATAAAGCAATGTGAAGCAAAATGAAAGAATGTCAAATGTATATTATGATGGCGCTTGATTTAACCATAAAATTGCACATGGCAGTCTGTCCTATTGATCATGCGCATTTCTGAATTGCAATCGTATCTAATGTATTTTGTATCTAATGTATTATAATGTTTTGTGTATTTACAGATCGCACGAAATTATTTTAGAAGTTCGTTAAATCAATCAAAAAAGTGCTGTTGTCCCTTTAACAAGCTATGTTCGCTCTATGGTACGCAGTGCTGGCTCTGGATGAAATAAGGTTAGTGATAATTTCTTTTCCTAATTTATTAAATTGGATATATTTTTATAATTTCGATTTAAATCCGATATGAGTAAATGCATTTTAACAATCATTCAAATAATTGAAAAAAATCGTTTCGTTTCAATTTAATTTTAAAAAAATATATATCATTTAGAGTTCAATAGGTATATATATATATACATTGATTTTTCATAATTATTTAATGAATATTATCTCGTTGAATTGAAGTTCCTACTAGGGTTTGTCCATAAAAATGATAAAATTCGGGAACCGGTTCTTTAGCGGAAAAAATCGGGTTTTACTGTATAAATGGAAAATGACAAATATACTAGATGAAAGCAAGCGTTTTGATACTTGGAATTATATCGGTTCGATAAAATTTGGAATCATATTAGTCTGTTCTAGTTCCCAGAAAGGTTCTGTGTTATCTTTTGTCTAATGTATATATTAATTTATATCATTATATCAATGTTGAAGGAGTGAATTACTTTACTCAAACTTTAAAAAAAGAGTTTTTATCCCTACAAGTCACAATTCACAAATAAAAGAACAAAATTTTCAGAATTATTATATCACGCTTTAGCCTAGTTCGGTTGCATGTGAGAGAGTAATTTCTATTTCAAAAAATTTAGTGAGTAAACAAAGGTCACTTCTAAATAACAAATCAATAGACGTTTTCAGCTTTTATATTGCATTAAACCAAAAAATAATTAAATAATTGAAATTAATTAATTAAATTGTTCGGAATAGAATAAAGTCGGGGTTTTGTTAAAGGTTTTTAGAACTAGAATTGACATTAACAAGTATGTATCTATTTTTTATGTATGTATTATTTATATTTGTTCGAACCCTTTTCTTTCACTATCATACAAGTATTTATAATCTCACATGTGAAAATGCATAATCATTTTCAAAATTATTTAATCCAGATCAACTATTATTTCTTTGTTCTATTAATTAAAATTAAAATAACTTTGTTTACTATTCATAAAATTGAATATTGAATAAATTCAGTCAAAGACTGCTTTTGACTGAAAACAAAATCACTCTAAAGTTGCTGATATTCTTTTTTGTTATTACAGAATATTCGAGCAAGAATTGATTTTTTATATAAAATTTAAAAACCGGCTAAAACCGGTTCTCTGCGAAATTTAAAATTCGAAAACCGGTTTTCTGAAATGTCGGTTTTTGTATAAACCCTAGTTTCTAATATATAAATAAAAATTATTGTTCTACTGCAAACCAGTGCTATTTGCTCTTGACTGAATAATTCTCCCCAGGTTTAACAAACTTTTATTTGTATATTCATTTTTTTCCTAAACATTATAATGGGATTCATCAATCGCAATGAATATGATTTTGTAAAATAACAATTGTTCAGTTTTTTAACCCTTACCGAACGGCACCTATTTGAAAATTATCTGCCAGCTGCCAGCAATTAGGTGTCGCATTCTGACAAAAACGTACCTGTTAAACTTGATCTTTTTGTGTATGTTATGCTATTTGCTTGATATGAATTTACGGTCATTGATTAACATACATTTACAATAATATCTAGATTTATTTTCTGCAGCATGTTAAAGTTTAAAGCAATATCCAAAAGGCATAGTGTTGATTATAATTAATTGTCGCAGCGTCGTGACAGTTTTTTTTATTTTTTTCATTCCACAGAAAACTGTAATATATCGTATAACTCCGTCTTTTTGATGGAAATTTTTCTTTATAAATTGCTCTATATACAATAAAAAAGAATAAAATTTACTTTGATAATAACTAATAGTTAATCTTGAAAAGAAAACTGTCTTATCACTGCATAGATCTTGTCTTGAGCAACTTTTTCACAAAATTTAATTTACAAAACTTGATATATACTAATAAACTTAATATAAAAATACCATACCAAATAATTGAACAAGAAAAGAATACGTTATAAATAAAATGCTACTTTAGAAATGCTTGGCAAAAAATATTTAAAGGGAGTGAAGCCCTAGGGCCGCGATTTGGTCATCCTTGATCAACAATTGATCAACTCAACGATTTTAAACGAGCGCACAGGAGTAACGTTCTCTGGTTAATATCTTCAAGTTTGGTTTTACGAAATAAAACTTTTGTTTATTAACATATCAGGTTTATTTCTAATTGTGTAAATATAAATCAAACGAACTTAGTTATTTTTACATTTTTGTCACAAAATTTCATTAAAACATTTTTATATATAACATAATAAATTTCACTATTTATTATATTCATGTATTTTACATAGAATAATTTCATAGTAAATAATATAATCAAGTGAATCTCACGTCGCTAAAGTGCATTAACATATCCATTAAAAGTCTGTATAAATAATAAGCACTAAAGATGTTTTTTAGATACAAAGAAATTAGGTAAATCATATATGCAAAAATGTAGTTCTCTTGTGTCTACTTATGTTTGTCGTACGTTATGTTTTAGTTGCTTCAGCAAATACAAATTTTATGAAAACGTATGCTTTTTCAAATGTTTTCCAATCATTCTTATCACATCTCGTTGCGTAATCAATCTTTCTACTTCTACATATTGAGTTATGTGCATTCAAAGTTTTGTTCATATAAGATGGATTGCTTCGAAATGTAATAGTTCATACTATTCTAAGTTTCTAATTTGCAGTTTATGATTTAAAATTAAACATTCGATATTCTTTGTACTTCATTATCTCTGTACTATTTGCAACTCATTTTATCAACATTTTTATGAAATTTTTCACAAGATAATTTTGTGCATGTGACTAATTGTCATTAAGAATAATTCTTAAATACCAATAGTTAATATTTGTTTGTGACTTGTGGCCATAGGCCTAGAACGCTTAGGGTATGCAACGGGTATTTCTATCCTCCTTATTTGATGGATGTTGACCAAAATATTTTCATTTTAATTGAAATCTGTTAAATATTACAAAAATCCTAGCTACACCCTGGTTGTGTTGACAAACATTATCGATTAATTGAGTGCATGGTATATCAATTAACATCAACAAGTATTGTTTTCAAATTGTTTAACAACTTAGTGCTATGGAATTGGAGTATTCGACTAATATTTATTGTAGAACGATAAGCGTGCTACAGAAACAGCTAACGATGAGCACCAAAATTTTAACCTATTTTTAATAAACATGAAACAAATAATATATTAGATTAACGATAAAAGCTATTAAAATTTTTAACTGCAGCTTGTTTAACAATACTTTATCGACTTGTATAACTAAAAATCAAGTAACATAATTAATATTTTTATTTGGTTTTAATAACATTTTATAACATCAAAAATAAAATATCCTATACAATTTAATGTTTAACATCGTTCAGCTACTTTATAAACGATTTCAGCGCTTTATTTTGTCTTGTATCGTCAGACATCGAAACTAAACTGAATTAGGCCATGATAAAAGGAACTATTGTTCGATGTAATTATGCCATTAATTTTTTGAGAAAAAATATAGGTTGTAGTAAGTTTTTATAACAATTGTTACGTAATTACATAGTACAGTATTGTATCAAAATACATAAGAATAGTTTGTGTGACCTTATAACAGTATTAAATGCTTGATTTCGTTTGATCACCACAGTCATTAATATTTTATCAGAAATTATCAATGTCCAAAGCTGTCCAAGGTTGAACAACATCAAAAATGTCCTAACATCTATGCAACATTATTACGAATAATTTTAAAACAATTATTCAAAAACAGACATTAATCTAAAAGAAACACTTTATATTACCAACGACAAGAAAAAATGAGTAATTTAAAATAAACAAAAATAAAATTATTCTAGAGTATACAAATAATTAACTAAGAAATTTAGAGCATGAAAACTCTGGAATGTGTAGATTGTGCTCCACACACTAATCACAGATTAATCTGGGCGTGACGACTGTAGTCTCGATATTCGTCCTCAAAGTCCGTGAGCGCCCTTACTAGACCTGGATACCGAACGATGTCCACGTGTCCGTACCCATTACCCACGTTTAGGAACTTGACCACTCTTTGCTTAGTCAAGGTCGATGAAGTGGCAGCATCCCGTAAACGTTCGCCCAAACCTAAGATTGGATAATAATATACTTCATATATTATGAGTCAAATCAAGCATTAAGTTTTGTATTGATTAGGTGCCAATATGTGCACCGACAAGTGATACAATAAAAACCTTTAATAACCTTAGGTAACAGGTATTCAAGAACAATTAGCAATTTGATTACAATAACTCACATAAATGGCACATTAAAATAGATAGAAGCAGGATTTTCAAAAAGCAAGAGTTTCAAATTTTTCAAAAGTCAAGCAATTTCAAATTTTTCAAAAATCAACTTAAAATATGAATTTTACTTATGTTGTAGGGCTCGCCCGTAGGTAAGCGGTTAAGAGCGGTGCTTGTTTCAGAGGTCCCGGGTTCGATACCCATTTCGAGCAGCCTGTTAGCAGGCAGCAGTGACAACGATTTTCACTTGGAAATATAGATAGCAATTTGTTTCCAAGTGGAAATAGCCCTCACCAGCATTGCTGCACCATTAAAAATACTCGCCCTATTACAGAAATTGTAATAATAATATATCATACAGAGATGTGACAACTGTTTGGGTTGCCATCTGTCAAACAGACTAGTATTAAGTCAAAATCAGCGCAACAGCTTATAGGACTATTAGGTTCTGCTTGCTGTTCAAAAATAATAAAAAAACTTATGTTGTAAATTTTGTAAGTCTACAAAAATGTACGATTTCCTCAAATTTTATACATGCCAATTTATGTTGTTATTGACGAAAATTAGTTACGTTCGTTTAATTTTTAAGTCCATAATATTGGTATCCAATCTCTGTCTTGTCCATGTCTATGATTTTATCCTTCTCGAAAATTGTGACAAGTTCTGTTATTATACTTTATTATGGTAAACCTCATTTGATACGTTAGTCTCAGTTCAGTGAAAACTGTTTCTTATAAATGTCGCATCTTTTGGCATTCCGTGAGCAAATTAATTAACAATCAAAAAATATGATGATTCTTACAAATTGGCACGTGTCGGTCATCGGGCGCGTGCAGAATAAGTATAGGCTGCCGCACGTATTTGATGTGCTCGTCCGAGTTGAAAGGGAAGCGATTGGCCAGCGGACGCATGATGGTCGCCTCGAACCAGGGCAGACGGCGGAAGGGCATCGTCAGAGGGTATTCGCGCACGGCGTCTGGCATGTTGTTGAATGGCGCTTCTAACACTACGCCTTTGACCAGGTCGACTAACGGATGTCTCTGTAGATGAAAACAAAATTGAAATGACAATAATCAATATTATTTTAAACAAAAGTGTTTCGAAAAAAAGCAGCTGGAACTATATTTTACTAGCAAATTTCCTTTTTTTATTCAATACTCTATTTACAACTGTCCAGTTAAGGACATTAAGCAAATTTGTTAATTTGCAATTGTCAGCCATAAAAGGGACATTGTATTTCATAATGACTAATAATGACATAATAGATGTTTTTCCATTCGTTATGAATAATATTAATAATATATTAATAATAATAATATAAACTTAAATATTTTCTTATAAATAATAACTAATAAATATTTTCTTATAAATAATAACAATCTTCATCAGGGAAATTGATGACTTAAGTCAAGTGGCGATTTTCTCTTCAATCTACGACGATAATTTTCTGTCAGCAAGGAGTTTGCTAGTGCATTTGGGTGACTGTCTCTATATTTATCTGCTGCTTTTGTTATTATATCTTTTACAGTAGTTGTATTCGTGTCGAGATGAATCAACCAGTTGGGAACATATAAGAAATTACCTCAGCAAATACTATATGTCTACAATGGTTCGACGTCTAATTACAAAATTAAATTCTTTTATTTAAAATGATAGTAACAAACGGATGATTAAATAGCGATTCTTTTATTTCAAAATAATAATATGCTAACTTTATGAACGCATAAATTTTATTTGCACAATTGAATGGATATAGAAAGTTTTCGCTCTATTCTGTAAATGATAATTATACCGAAACATTTTTAAATTTAACAAAAATTTCAAGTTTTATTTAGACTCACAAAAAATTGTATAAGAATACAACCTAGAGCTATATTTATTTTAATTGTTTGTCCTATATATAGACACGCTTCGATACATTAAATGATTTTTGTATAATCGTTAGTAAAATATAAGCGTAATAGCGTATCATTATAGTTGAAAGGAAAAGTCGTAATTCGTGTTACTCACAAAACAACTATTAAAATTTGATGATATAATCACAGAGAAAGATTATAAAAACAATAAAAATGCATATTATTTTTTACTTGAATGCCGGTAAAAAAAAAATAGTTTGTCACAATTAAATACAATATATATATATATATATATATATATATATATATATATATATAATACAGTATATGCATGCATATAGTTTGCTCATGTTTTCATAAAAATTACATACAAATGATCTACAATGCGATATTTCCGGGCTCATCGGTTGTCTGTCGATCCCGCATAAATTAATTATTCTAAATGACGTGACGCCAGAATAAAAAACATACATGAATCTTAATTATGCATAATTTATTTGAAGAACATATAAATACACATATGTAATAACCGGATAATAAAAACACGACAAAAGAATAAAATTGGTTTTGGAATATTTTTGGGTTTTTTAATATTAAATATTTCCCTGTTTTTGTTTGTGGAATCGGCCTTGATTTTAACATCACGCAAAAATGACCATTTTACCAGCATAAACAAATATAAAAAAATTATCGTTGTGCATATGGTACATAAATTGACCCCTGTCTACTACATCGATATTTTTTTGCATTTTGGATAATATGGTTTTGTAACCAAAAAAAATTTTTACGATCTTTATTTTTCGTGCAAAAAAAATTAATAATATATAGCAGGAATCATCAATTACTATGCAATTTTTTTTTTATTCGTCACCTGTTTCCCTTGAAGAATGACATTGCTTCATTGTTTAAGATTTGACAGAAAGAAATTTATTTATATGTTAAAACTATATTCTCAGAAAATGATTATATGTATATCCTAGAGTAACTACAAAATTTTAAATTTTATTGAACATTCTTGAAAACACGATTTAATTGATATGTTAGTTAGCTAGCATAAAATGAACTGAACATTAATTTGTAAAAAATGAAACAAAAATAAAAAATAACAAAATAGGCAATCTTTTGGGAGAAATAATTCTAATACTTAAATCAGCGTACTCTGTTTGCAGAATATACGACTAATTTGAATTATAATAGAATTTTGGACTGCAAAGTTATTTACTAATAATTAATAATAATATTATTATTTAGTAATGAGAACTACAAAAGTAAAATGTGAATTTACGAACTTGAGATAAAGTTCTAACTTTCCATATTACCCATTGTTTCATATGAACATATAGTATAGACAGAGCTGCAAGTTTCGGCAAATAATTGATTTACAGTTGAAAGAATTTTATAAATTTCATATAAAAATTCATTGATACTGTTGGCAAGTTACCTGAATCTTCCTAAGCATCTGTAGCGAGATACCCGTGCCCAACGAGTGTCCCCAGATAATCAACTCGGCGTTCGGCGGCATCCGAGCCGCAAGCCATGCATAGGTGGCCAATGCATCGCGTACTACCCCCCGTTCAGACGGCCCATTTGGAGGGTCCGTAGAATCTCCGTATCCGCGATAATCTACAGCAATCACATGTCGATCCAATTCGGGCGATTCGGACAGCAGCCTGTACAGCGGGATGCGAGTACTGGTACTGCGTGTGCCACCATTGCCATGCAAGTAGAGCACGACAGGGTGCCTGCCGGTACGGAGAGCGGCTTCGAAATACTGAGACCGGAGTCGGCTCAGAGTGCGGTCACTGCAATTTTATTTAATAGATAGTGTTAGACGATGGCTTTTTTGTTCAACCTAAACATACCTGATACTTGTTAAAAATGTGGTGATAACGACAAATTAATCGAAAACTCAAATAAATGTTAATATTATTTACACGTGAAATTATAAATATCAAACAAAAATAATAAAAAAGTATATCTGAATTGGAAATTGAACCCCGGAGCAAAAATTAGAATTCCACGACGTTAGCCACTCGGCCAATCTGCTATTGAAAAGGAACAGCATTGCAAGCTGCGCTGCTAAAATGCAAACTTTAATTAATTTTTATAACTAAACCGCTTTTCATAGGTTTCTAATATTTTACCACGGTCAATTTAGGCATCAAATCTACCATTGTGCCAAGTTTCATCAAAATCCGAGACGAGCAACGCGCGGGTTCTCCTTATTAGACAAGTCATGTGGAAAATGAATTCAAATTTTTGAATCTCTAAATAATGTTCGATATCATAAATAAAGTATATAAGTGATAGAGAAGTCTGTTCGTTATAAAAATTCTCATATATATATAGAATCAAAAATTCAATAAGTATATTAACATATATTTGAAATCTCTGGTTAAACTGGTAATTCAATATGCATATGACAAATACTTATTTTTGGGTATTTAATACGAATTCTTGTATCTTATTATGGAGTAACTTATCATTAGAATATGAAGCTCTAAATTCAGTGAATAGTTTTTTCTAAAATAACAATATATTGTATAGAAATGTTTTATTTACAGTCAAACTGGATAACAATAAAGACGCTATAATAGGCTCATTTTAACCTTAAAAAAACAATAGGATAATATCTAAAACGATCTGATTACAACGTTTTATAAAAAGATAAAAATTAAAATAAAAAAAAAAAGAAAAATAAAAAAAAATATTATACATTTTATAAAAGAATAAAATTTTAAAAAAATAATGAAATCAATTAGATAAAAACCCTATTCATTTACGTATAACATAGAAATACATATTTACTACAAATAATCGAATATCATTAGAATGCATCAAATAATTTTCATTAAAGCTAAAAGAAAACTTTCTAATATTCATGAAGAGACGCGGATGTTGATTATTCGGAACATGTAGTCGGCGTTGTTCGATGTATTATTTGCTAACTTCTCCACTTCTTACACACTGGTGTGTAATGTTTGCACATTTGCTACGATACACACCTTATTCTGTAGAATTATTTTACAAATTCTATTAATACTAATCGTAATAAGAAGTATACGGACTAAACTAGAAGGTGAAAATAAAAGTAGTCAAAGGTCGTTTAACAGTGAACTCGTTGTGGTGTTCTATTATCATTCAATAAAGAATTTTCAATGCCGTAGGTTTTGTATAATGAGTATATAATTCAATTCGTATTCGTGTCAGTAGTAACAATGCTTTTATACTTCTGAAATTAATGTAATCATCAAAAATTTTCTTTGTATATAATATGAAGGATAATTGTTGTCATATAACCAAAACGTTGCAAGAAACTTACTAGTAGAATATGAGAGCATTGTTTGTATTTAATATGTTTACATAAGAAAGAGTCGCGTTATGAATGAACTGCGTAACAATAACCATTTATCGAAGCGCTTATTAGCAATAGTAATAAATAAATGCATATATATATATATATATATATATATATATATATATAATCTTGAAATGATTATATATAATTTATCCGACAAATATCGAATATATACTTAGATTTATATCTAAAATATACTTAGATCAAAATATTGTCATATAAATATACGTACTATTCAAAGGTGAGATTGTCGAAGGATCGAACTCGCGAGTCGCAATCTTCGACTGCCGTATTATTAATAGTTCCATTCGCGTTGAATCGCGTCGCGTCGATCGCTAGATCCTTTACAGCCTCAGCCAAAGCGTCAACGTCGTACTTCGCTTTCACATAGGATTCAGCATACGACTGCGGCAATACGTGCCAAACACCCAACACGATTTCCTGTTTCAGCACATCAGCACATGATTCTTCGCCTGCTTTGCAAAATTCTTCGTCATTGTATGCCAAATAGAAGTTTCTAGTTGCGTCCAGGCCGACTTCTTCCGGCGCAAGAATTCGTTCGCCGAATCTCGCAAAAATGAAAAAAGATTGCAAAGCACTTGAACTATAAATCGCCAACGGAATCACAACAAATATCAAAATGATAACAACAAGAACGACGAACAACATCGTCAGCAACCAGCGGCGTTTTCCACACCGCATGAACGCGTATCGCACGAACGCGCGATTTTTCCTACCGCCCGTTGTACGAAGATTTATGGACTAAATCAACGTGTGAAGCACGCCGGAATATTCTTCATTCAGTTGGATTGCTGTGTCATCGCGTCAGCTGTAACAGTTCTGACGCAATATCGAACTTTTTGTCAGTGGCGCGCGATCAGTAACGGTAACTTCGAGAAAGTTGTGCGCGCGCAATCGCTACGCCTCACGTTGGGCCGCGGGAAGTTTGCCGGTGTTGATGGATGCTACTGCTCGGGCCCCCCGAACGAATTGCTTGCACGCGGCAGTACGTAGCCGAGAAGCACTTCTTGATGCTTTTTCACCAGGCGCAGTACTTTAGCTGAAAAGTTAATAACTATTTAGATTTACTAATATTAATTTAATATCTGCATATGTAGTAATCAAGATCATAAAATAATTGCGATGCTTCATTTGAAAATTATTTCCAAGTTATTGTAATCGTCCCAAAATCGAAAATTAAAATTTTTGCAAATCTTCACTTTTTGAAAGTTTTCGAACATTTTGGCATACCTTGAAAAAATGGATGCGTATGTGTGGATACAATTTTTTGTCGACAATTTCGGGCGCACGGATTAACCGATATGAATGATTCAAAAATGGATCGATTCATATTGATAAGAGGACGTGCTGATTAGTTTTTGGCAAAGACAGGTCTAGTCGTTTTGGAGATATGGAGCTATTTTAGCAAAAAATGGCGGTCTTTGAGATATTCGATTGGAATGACCTTTTGGAATTTTTGTTAGTCATTCATTTGTTTCATTTTTTATTTATTTTTTTATTTATTTATTCATAAGCAAGCCGTAATCAATAATAATAGATATTATTTCAGGCTCTTGTCAAGCTTATTCATAGTTAATATTAAAAGGATAGTAATTTTATAATAATCATAGTAGCTGCACGAATTTCGCTTCTGAAAAAAAGAGCTGAAAAAAAGCATTCGAACATTAAATACAATGTTCATCATCAAGTTCATCATATTAAAGTCTATTTGACCACCAGTCAATCTCAAAATTCTTGCACAAGGTTGAAAGTTCTACTCATTTAAAACCGTAAAAAATTTAAATTAATAAAATAGCAATAAAAAAATGAAAAAAAAAAAAATAATGGTTGTACAGGCGATCAAATGGTCAGACTACATAGATACAGGATAAGGATTATGCAAGAAAATAGTTATTGAATTCAAATTGAGAAAATTCAGTAATGTCATAAAAAGCTATGTCTTTAAAAAGTTTAATTAGGGAAGCATGAAATTTTTTGCTGTCTAAGTTTCGGATATTGAGTGGAAGTTTATTCATAAGCTGAATACCTAGACCGTCGATCGTATTGAAAGAGCTGGCTAATTTATATGTACGCGCCTTAATAGGTTTGTGTCTAGTGTTGTAATTTGAGGACGAAGCCATATCAAAAAGTTTCGAATTGTTTTTGATGAAAGTTAATGTTACCAGCAGAAAAATGCATGGGACAGTTAGAATATTGTATTTTTTAAATATGGGTCTGCAGGAGGCTTTACTGGGCAAGGAAAAAATTATTCGAATAGCTCTTTTCTGGAGCTTAAATATTTTAATTAGTTCGGATGAAAAACCCCAGAATTGAATGCCGTATGAAACGTGAGAATAAAAGTTGCTATAATAAACTGAAAGTAAGCAATTTAAACCAAGTTTGGGTTTTAGGGTGCGCAACATGAAACATGTTCTAGATAAAGTTGGTGATAGAGAGATAGAGATATGATCAGACCACTTTAAATTATTATTAATATGGATACCAAGAAACTTTGATACTTGCGAAAAATTATGTGTTAAATTATTGATGGTTAAAGACGTATAAAACTTGAAATAGTTGAAATAAATAATTTTAACTTTGCAATTCAATTTATATAATTTTTAGAAATATGAAACAAATCAAAACATTCTAACACCCACCTTTACTTTTTGCGTAAGCTCATATAAACGTCATCGTCCAACTTACGAAGCCTTTACTTCTTATCTATAAAATGCGAATAATGAAAGTTATAGTATTTATAATAATATATTTAAAACATATTTGATATTCTTCGAATACTCCAATCCGGTACTGGAATTTCCAGAAATTTTCCTTAAGGTACGATGCCTTACACTACATCACTAGTTAAATTTATAATCTGCATGCTTTGTAAGTTGGGCAATTATTGTGAATATATTTTTAAAGTTAAGCACTTGATGAGAAAAACAAACAGTTTTATGAAAGTCATTGTAAAGCTTTACGGAAATTTAGAGAAATATAGAAATTCATTAGCATAATATTAATTCATAATTAATGTATAACATTTGCACCAAATCCTATTAAATACTGTGCAATAATGTGCAATTAAACAAAAATAGTAAAAAGTATAATATAACACATCATTACATTATTACAAATGCTTGTTATTTCAATTGAATAATATA